GTCAGCATTGTTATTATTAGGCAATGTGTTAGTTCATAAAATAGGGATACTGGAAGCCATTGAAAACTGCAGAAGCAATTTCTTTGCCTTGCAATTTGGAAGGAGTAATCTTGAATTAAATGGCAGGACATATATACTACAGCAGCGCAGATGACCCCATGTCAGATTATTAGCTGTCGTTTAAAGAAATGAATTCAAAAGTGAGAGGCAATAATGAAAAGGCCAAGAAATTAAAGGAAAAAGCCAAGGGGCATTCACTGTGGGGACTTCTCTGTGGCTGAATAAATAGAGCCATGAAGTAAGTGTGAGCGCTGGACTCCCAGTTGTTCACACAGCCGATTTACTAGCTTATCTCCAGACTCTGTTTTGGGCATATCCAGTTGTTTCTCACCAAAACATATTTGCTGTATGAGGAGCAAGCCTTAAACAGTGTGAAGGTGAGGTGATCTGTATCATGACCTCAGAATCAGGGATTTGCTGCTGACCCTCCTTTGTTACTTTATTATTTTATTATTATTATCGTTATTTTTATTATTATGATTTAGCAGTAGAGACATACTCTATCAGTCCGGACTAATCTGGATCAGCTCTGGTCAGTTTGTCAGTCTGTCAGGACAGTGGATCAAACCAAGTGAAGTTTGTTAGTTTGGGTGTATCTGAATTCAGCCAGAGATGATCCTGAGGTTCTTTAGACTGATCCTGTGGTAGGCATCAGTCTGTGTCAAATGAAACTGTTTTCCTTACAGTATTACTTTCCTGTATAAATGCTGCCTCATGATCAATTACTCTGTAGAAACACATTTGAAACATGCTTTATTACAGATATAAATGCTAAAAGTGCCTAGGATGGGGTAGAGTCTCTTGACTCGGTTGCAGCAAATCCAATATTGCTTTGGGCTGAATTTTCCCCTATAAATCACAGGAGTTCACTGTGCGCTTCTTCAGACCTTTGCAGTTTTCCCTGGCCTGCATCAGCGCTCACAGATGATTGAGATCAGAGATTGCTACTCCTAGTTTTGCACTGAGTAGATCTGTTATTTTAACTGTATCTGATTAATAATTCCTAAAGATTTTTTTCCTATTTTGAGTGGTACGCATAAGTGCTTATTTAAATGCATTCATTTCTGGCAAGAATTATCTTCCTTTGTGAGGAAAAACAAAAAAGGGATCGAATACTTCAGCCTGGCATGCATCATCCGTTAGTGACTCTCCTTCCATATTCCCTAATAAATCTACGCTTACCTATGTCTACCTCTTACTTCTGATATGTTTTTAGAATTTTTGCCTTTGATGTCCCTTTGCTGTTCACAATCCGTTCAGTCCTTTTGCTTTTCTAAATTGATTCCTCTGCTCTTGTTCTCTGCATTTATGTTCAGCTGCAATTAGGAGCCCTTGTTCCTGTTCCTTTTTTGAGTTTCATGTTCTTAAAGAGGACCTGTTGCAGACTTATTGCTACCTGTTTTTTTACTACGCTTCCTACTTTTCCTTCCTGTTTAGAAAATTTCCCTTTTGGGTTTTAATATATTATTTTCCAGTCATTCTTCGTCCTTGAGATTACCTTTCCAAAAGGTCTGCTCTTCTCTTATTCCAGCCTTTTCTTCACAATAAGTTAACTATCATTACCTGTTATCACTACCTATTTCATTACCACTTTCAAAGAAACTACCTTCACCTTTGGGATTTTCAAGCCTTGCCCCCTTGTTTTGAATCAGAAGTAGAGGCACGACTTCCCATAGTGGTTTCCTTTGTTTCCTGAGACAGAAGCTGATTCTGATGCACCCAAAGAGCTTCATAGATTGGTGACGGCCTGCTCATTCTCTTTTCTCATAGACAGGTAGCAAATTAATGGCATATCTGCACAGTAAAATGCAGTGCTCTGGAAGAGCTAACTTAGGTGCTGAAAGCCACCCGACTGAATCAGCACAGGTCTCCCCAGGACTGAATACTGAGAAGTACTAAGGTCTCCTTTCTTCCCATACCTTCTAGTTCTGGCTGGCTGGCTGAGCTGCCTCCTGCCTTCCCTGACATGTGAAGAACGTCTGCTCAACCTAGGTAACTCCTGGCTCCTTCTCAGGAGTGACTTCTGCAGTACCCCCAAGTGGGGTCGTTCAAGTTGACAGCTGTTCATTTGAGCTATAATCATTACTCAGGTCAAATACTTGCCAGGGAATTCTCCCCTCAGAGACAGTAATTTCTGTACGTCCCGGAATGGGACCAGTCGCTTCCCCTGAGGACACACTGACTTCTAACTGGAGATGGATTCATTGTAAATGCCTGGTTTTAGCCAAGTTTGTTGGCTAGCTGGATTGCTTGTTTAGGATTCCCCCTCCAGTTTTCGACCCTTTGAATTTCGTTTCAAATTGAACATTTGAAAGTTTAATTCCTTCCTGCAGCTTATCCCTGTCAGTGAATACCTTGGTAAAGCTTTCACTGTCTTTTCCTTGAAAATCTTTCGGTCCGTCATAGTGCCTAATTAGTCTCTGGTCAACCCACTGCTCTTTTTCTCTGGCCTGGACAAACCTCCAAATACGTTCTGAATTTTTGTGATTGTCCTGACTTTCTGCATATTCTCTGTCCCATGGGGAATGTCAGGGTTCACGAGGGTTGAACAGGAATGCGAGAGTCACTACCACTATGAGAACTGTTTCACGGCTCACGCCAGTGCTGCAACCAAGGGGAAGATATTCATTCTGTTGACTCGTGGTCCTGGTGCAATCCACAAGCCCTGTGTCTCTGCCACTCAGATGTCCACATATCTGTGTCTCCAGAAGGACAGTTCTGCCTCTTTTTACATACAGGCAAGGGACCATCTCATCTGCTGCCAAGGCACATGGGCTCACAGCCGCCACAAATATCATCTGCTGCAAAAAGTGCAAGCCATCTTCACTGAAAAGCTCAGCTTAACCTAGGCCTTGCCTGCTACCTTTGTTATTTCACTTATTTCACTAGATTAAAGGTTTTAGTAGCCTCTTCCATTTAACCTCAGTTAAGGCCTATCAGCTTTAACCAATTGCTTTAGAATAAAGTCACAGAATGAATCACAGAATCACAGAATCGTTTGGGTTGGAAGGGACCTCTGGAGATCATCTAGTCCAACCTCCCTGCTCAAGCAGGGTCCTCTAGAGCATGTTGCCCAGGATCACGTCCAGGCGGGTCTTGAATATCTCCAGCGAAGGAGACTCCACTAGCTCTCTGGGCAACCTGTTCCAGTGCTCTGTCACCCTCACAGCAAAGAAATTTTTCCTCATGTTCAGATGGAACTGCCGGTGTTTCAGTTTGTGCCCGTTGCCTCTCGTCCTGTCGCTGGGCACCACGGAGAAGAGGCTGGCCTCATCCTCTCGACACCCCCCCTTCAGATACTTGTACACGTTGATGAGATCACCTGTCAGTCTTCTAATAGCAATATTATTAGTCTATAGTTGCATATAGCAGCGTGCAGTGCTTCTTACCTAGGATAACGTTTTATCTCTTTCTCACCTGTTTCAGCTTTCCACATTGCACCTTTCAGAGGACAATATCTGGTTATAGGCACCCTATTAACAAGCCCTTAGTGCCTACTCATCCTCAGCATCCCGCCTGCTTGATCTTGCCATGGCATAATACCAGACCCTCAGTTTTCAATCCTGCTGGGCAAAAGAAGGAAGAAATAGATGGAGGCAGGCTTCATTCACTACATACCGAGTGGTGCCCCTGTTCTGTTGCCACAGGGGTATGATGCCCAGGTCTTCTGCAGGGAGGCAAAAGTACTGTACAATCCTTTTTTTTTGTTAATCATACGAACCTTTAAACTCCCAATACATAAAGTAAGTAAGTCCACAAAATTGGTCTGTGCAAGTAGCACATAGTTTGCCTGCTGACACCTTATTTGCATGGGCAAATAGACTATTTGCATGCACAGCATCATATAGTATGACTCATTCTACTGTTTGTATGAAATCCTTAATGAGCGATCCTCTATTTTACCTTCTGGGCTGCAGTGTTTCACCAGTAAAACAGTAGGATTGCAAGCCTGTATTGGAGGTTATGGATGTACTCTAACCTGACAGATTGCAGAGAAGCCCTGACGTTGCTTTCTCTCCAACTTCAGTATTTTCTTTAATGTGAAACGGGCCGATTTTGTCCCCCGAAATGAGGTGAAATGAGTGGGAGGTTCCCAGCGTAGTCCAGATTTTGAAAATGTCTTTGAGAAAGCTTGTTACCACAAAGCATTGAATTCTAGACACAATTCTTCATAATCACAATTGATTTTTACATCTCATATATTTGAACACCGTAACCAAAACCAATTTCTTTATTTTTAAGTGTGTTTGAATGTTGAAGAGGTCTTTGCAGAAAAATGCTGTCCGTCAAACTGTTTAAAACCGACACCGATGTCTTAAGAATGAGCACTCTAATATTAAATAAATGATGGATATTCCCAAGGCTGTTGCCTAGAATTAGTACTGTACTCACTGTAATGCCATGATTTTAATTTTGCTTACTACTTAGATAATCATTCGGAATTTTTTCCAAGAACTGCTGTGATTTCAAATGTTCTTGTTCTCTTCTGTTACCGTTTTCTGCCTGTCCTGGCCACAGTTTAAAGCAGTGAGATTCTGTCTGAAATATTTTACGGGGCTCAGGGGTCCGCATAGCATATAAAATCAGACCTAGTACAATTTCTTCAAAGCAGGGATCCTTCCTTCTAAAGTGTTTGGAAAGCTCTTGCTGGGCATTAACATGGTTATATATTTTAAATCATCGTAATAACTATTAGATAAAAGACTATATATCACCTGGGAGTTTATATTGTAAAATCCAGATTTTTCTGAAGAGATTAGCCAGCTCTATGACCCAACAGGATGTGCTATTAGATTGTAGGGATGATAAAGCCACTGTATAATGATGAACACACCCCACCTTGAAACGACTAGAATTTAAATAATATCAGAAGTTATTGATTAACCTAGGGTTGGGTATGATTTAGCTGCTCTAGTAAAACTTGACTATTCCATCTGAGTGCTTGTTTTATTGAAGAGCAGAAGAGTCGTTTCTTCCACGCTCAGACTAGGCAAAAATGGGTGGCTCGCATGTAAGTAGCTATTTAATTTGGATTGTCAGGAATACAGCCGTTTCCTTTTGTTATTTTTATCCATTTTCACTTTAAATTACGTTAATGCAGCTGCAAATGAAGATTTAAATGCAAAGTCTACTTTAAATGTGAGGGAAAAGCTCTTGTGTGTAGCCAGTAACATCCACTTCATTGCACTACATGAATTATGAAATTGTTACTGTAACACACGGGTTCTGAGTGTTTTAACACTGATTGAGGCACAGTTTAAAATGGCATTACTTTCATTTTGAGAAAAAGAAATGACGAGTAGGATGTCATGGGACAACTCATTTTAAATGGCAAATTTATATTGGAATTTTCTTAAACACTAAAATAGCTCCGTAAAGCTCTATGAAAATCTTCCGATTCCAAAGGCCAACAGTTTCAAACTTTGACTAAGTTTATCACTGAACAGCAGGGACAAGAGTAATCTGAAACTGCAGTGCTCTCAGAAGGGCCTGATTAAAATCCAGGCATCAGGACTTATCACGTTGAATTACCGTACGAGTTTTGACTGAGAGAATTTTGGCTAATATGCAGGTATTTAATAATAAATATCTAAATTGCATATTTATTCTCAAAAAAATGTATTCTTTATTGTCAAAAAATTGACGTAATAGCTGTGAATGCTCATTGCTTCTGAAAATTTAGTAGCTTGCACTGAAGAGGTTTTTTAGCTTTATTTTAAAATTAATGGATAAATGACAACAATATTTATTCAGCTTTGCATATTGATTTCAGAAAATCTGCAGTTTTAACAGTTTCAACAGAGGAGAGCATGTTAGCTTTGACAGACTGATGTTGCAGTAGTTTCTGTCTTAAGATGTGTATTATTTTATTACATGACTATTTTTTATTCAAATTTAGCAAGGCCTTGAGAAATGCAGAGCACCTGTTGCTTTTGGAGCTGCTCTTCAAGTCATTTTCTCTGCCAGACTCCTAGCGGAAGAACCCGTACCATTTGCCCAAGGCTCCAGCTACTGAGCCAAGGACCTAGAAGGGATCACAAGTCAGAGCCAGTAGAAAGGGCCAGTTCCTGCATCATTGCATCTCCCTATGAAAGAGTAGCTGGCCCCATCTGCTCACCATCCGTTTCTGACCCAGCCGCTTGCAAGGGCAGAAAGAAGTAGTTCAGCAATCTGCCTTTGCACAGGAAACATTAGGCCAAGAAAGGCTCCCGCTGCACAGCCCTGTGTGCTCACAGAAGCACATATTATAGCGTGGACGGTGGACACCTCCCGAGGCACCCAACCCTGGAGAGCTGCCCCTGTCCCCGCTAACGGAGGGACGCTTTCACTGGACACTGCACTAAATGCAGTATGGGGCAGATGTATCCAATTTAGCTTTAAATTAGCCAGTCTTTGGCAACGGAGATCACAGCGCTGCATCTCAGGCCGGTTTAGCAGTTGTATGAGCTCTGGGCTGGATGAGGTAGCCAGCAACGCTGGCCGGATGTATCTATAGAAAAATGAAGTTGTGCTGTAGGCTTCAGTGGGAAGAGGTGCAAGCCCATGGTTGAAAGAGTATCTCATGATTCAGCCCATGACTCATCTGAGAACTGCAGCTCGTTATCATCATTCTGTGTTTGCCTCTAGGAAATTACAGATCATCTTGGAGAAATGCCTGCATCTGTTTCAGAGAACCACTTCTGGAATAACCTGAAAATATTCAGTTCTTACCAGAGCTTTTTAACTGCAGTTTGTTCTTTCTCCTAATCTCATGGTTTGCAATCATAGGTTCATGAGTGTCTTGTGTATTGTGTTTTTTAAACCTCCAGAGCAAGTCTTACAGCCTCACAGAGGATATACGGAAATCAACTGTAGGGACTACCAGTTTGTCAGCAGATGAGCCAGTAAGCGCTTTTTTTATGAAGGATGAAAGGGGCACCATGGTATTACACAGCACACTTTGCAGTGGCTTATGGTGGCTTTGGGAGGCACTGCAGTGCACAGAGGCAACCCCTCTTTGGCAGTCCAGATTGACACTAGTAAAGCTGGGTGAAAACTGGCTTGTTTCTTTCTCTTGAATACTGCATCTTTCCAAAAATTTGTCTGCTTTGAAATTTCAGAACTGAAAATTTTTTGAATAGCCCAAATTCTGATGGGAGAAAAGGCAAATGAATCGTCTGTGCCAACTGAGATATTTTGTTCTCGTTATATGGATTTAGGTTTTAAAACTTAAAAAAATAAGGTGTCATTAATAAATGAAGTTTGCACTGAAGGCTAAGCATTGTTCGAAACAAAATAATGAAATTTTCCATTACGTGGACTTTAAAATGGAAATTTTCAGCTGTATCAAAATGTCTCATCATATTTAAAATAGAACTTTCATCAAAACCACTATCTTCCTAAATATGTTAATTTGAACAAAAGTAACAGATTTTACTGAAAAAAAGATTTCAACAAAAAAATTTCCAACCAGCTACAAGGCATAGCTTTCTCACAGAAATTGAGCTCTTGGTCAAGAGCTGCACCTAATGCAACATTACAGCTCCAAATCTGCATATTTCCACATGCTTTTCACTGTCTGAAAATTGAATCCAGTCCCTCTTTCTACAATCAACCAGTCTTGACTGCATATCCTACGAGATTTAAATTCTCCAGTTATTGTTTCTATGCAGTCTTGTATCTTCACACTTACCTGCAGTTCTGCTTTTCTTCAAAATTACCACAAGTGGAATGAATCCTGAAAATCTGGGTAGCTGCTCTTCTGTAAGCAAGGTGCTTTGGGGAAAGTTTGAGAATGATAACAATGGTTTTCACGGTATGATGATTTCAAAAGTTTGATTGGTTTTGACTGTTGTGAAATTGCTTAGCTTTTTAAACTTTCCATCTCTCAAGAATCCTATGTGCATTATTCTGTTCTCAGTGGTGTTTGTGACTTAAATTAATCTGGGGGATGGACAAGGGTTTTGTTTTTATTTTAAACCATTGTTTGAGATTCTCTGGGAGTCCCTGGAGTTTCATCTTGTCATTGTGAGCAGCACAAACCTTCTGCCAGGGAGGGCTCTAACATAAGAAGGGGACGGCAGGTTGCCGTTGGCCAGATGGTTTGAGAGCTTGAAGGTAAAAAAGTAAGTATAACTTTGTAGAGCACATCTGCCTGATAAAGCTTCTTGGGGATAAGTTCAAAGCTCGCAAACATCACAAGGGTCTCTGCATTGCCTATAGACCCTTCTACCCTTGCAGAAATGTCTGCTTAGTTCCGGTATTACTTATTGCAGCATGATGTTATTATCTCATCACAAAGGTCAACAATAGTTATTTGTTGCTTGCGCTGGTAGACCGAATTCAGTGACAGTAGATTCTTGTTCAGTCCCTGGCCATAAGCCCAGAGTCAGCAGAAGACAGAAATACCTTCTTGTTCAACCACGCGATACTGGGGAAAAACCATGGCAGATTCCTATTTGTGTCCGTGGTCCCCATTTATCCATGATATTTGCTGTTCCTTTTAGACCTGAGTGCAGCTGTGGTAAGTGTTAAGAAGCATATATCCATGAAACATTTATGATGCATTTCAGTTGTGGCCAAAAACTACTGGAAGTATTAAAAGGTCATTATTTTTGCAAAAAACATAAAAAATGCGAAATGCCTGGAATCTCAGTCTTCTGTGTATGCAGCATCTTTAGTACGCTCTGCCAAGTTCCGTCTTTCCTATGAAGAGAAGGAAAAAATACTCTCCCCTTTATTGTTAGCTGTGGCCACCCACTGAAGTAATGCACTGATTCAGCTGACCCCGGTGGCTCAGATGACCTGGTTGTATCTCGAGATTTCCTCCATCCTATGAGGCAGAAAGGAGTTAGACACAGAAGCCTCCATGTTCAGTAAAGATAGTTGGTTTGTTAGACACTAACCGTCATATGAGCAATGTCTGTACAGTAATAGCCCAGGTATGTATCTGTGATATATAGAGGTATTTTTCACACTGTGTTTAGATAATGCATCTTGCACAGGAATGTTTTAAAAGCAATGAAACATTAGGGACCGTAGGGAGAAGCATGTAAGCCTGGGGCTTCCTTGGTGGGGCACTACATCCATCCAGTTCTTCTGCTTTTAAATAATTCAGATTTGGAATATATTAAGAAGTCAGCATGACATCCCCAAAGACTGTGTCCATATATTTGAGCCTTGTATAGGCATACTTAAGTGACGTAATTTTTTGTGCTGGCATACGGAAGAATTAACTTCTGCTCCATCAATATTAACTTACTGGAACTCATCACAAGACTTAGTTGATGTAATGAGAAGAGTGTAAAATTATTAATAAATCATAAGAACACTTGAGCTATATCTGTGTTACCATTCAAGCCAGAGATTCGGTATCTCTACTGAAAAAGAGGCAGACCAGTTTCCGACCATTTTAGTCATAATCACCGGTGGCTCAGCATAGACAGTGTTGTAGAACCAGGCATTATGATCAGTAAAATTAAAGGAGACAAATCTATTCCTAGTGTAATAAGGAATTATTCCACAGTTGAAATTCCAGATTTTTCCTAGGCGAATAAAGCCATTTGTTTGCCATTTTTTGTGGCTTTTGTTTTCAAGATAAATGTTGGCAGGAACTCGCATGGGGCATGACTCAGTGCCTGAAATGCAGGCATGGTGCCTTTGGAGATCTCTAGCAACCCTTCCTACCTGGTTCCAGCTGCCACGCGGAGGGCTCAGGTCCCTTCAGTCCTATGTCACGTCAGCCAGCCCTGGGCAGAGATCCCGGGTGCTCTGGGACGTCTTGCAGGTGATGGTATTTAGTGGTTTCACAGCTTAGGCGATCCACTTCCACTGCATGGGACCATGGTAAATAACTCCAGTTTTAAAAGTAATCTGTATTCAGGAGTTTGGACACAATTCAGCTCTGAAAGAACCCCTCCCAAAACATACTGTTCTTGATTGTGGACATCTCCATCATGGTGATGAGCCTAAGTAAACTAGGTGGATAAAAAAGTAGCCATAAGCTGTTATGAAATGATGTATTAATAACTG